GTTAGATACATGTATATAGTGGGGGATATTTATCCACCACATCCCTCCGCTGAGAAGTGAATTGAACCACGGAGAGATTCACTTTAACTAGGAACATACCGGTCTGGGAAACGAACTGTCCTTCCGAATTTTGTTCGGCGTTGAGAAGGCGTGCCAGCAGGTGGGGGTGGTGAAGCTGTTGCCACCCTTGTTGAGCGTGCTGGAGGGGTTGTGCGCTGGGGCGTTCCCAAGGGAGCGCCAGGGGCTGGCGGGCGCTCGGCAGGTGTTTCGGCAGGGGCGCGGCCGCCACCTTCTGGGTGTGGCTGCGCTGACGGGCCGGGCGACGAGGCAGGGGGATGAAGGTCAAGGCCGGCTGCGTCGGGTGGTGCGGGTTGCCTACCCGCCACGGCTGTGGTGGGAGGCGCCGCTGTGTCGTCTCCAGCGAGCAGGAATGCCGGTTTGACGCGATCGATCGAGACCACGTCCTCTTTGCCCTTCAGTAGTATGCGGACAGTTTTCCCAGAGTCGTCCCAGCGAACGACTTGGTATGGACCGGTGTATGGCGGCTCGAGCGATCGGCGTACGCGATCCGTTCGGAGCAGCACATGGGAACATTTGCGTAAATCTCTGTGAACAAAAGAAGCAGGATTAGCATGGCGCGAGGTGGGCACAGGGCGTAGAGTGCCGAAATACTGTCTGAGACGCGTCAGGAGTTCTGACGGGCTGGAGGCGTCAGCTGGGGGTGCGGTGAGCAGGTCAGCCGGCAGGCGCAGAGGCTCGCCGTAGACCAGCTCGGCTGTTGTCGTCTGGAGGTCCTCCTTGAAGGCAGTCCTCATTCCAAGCAGGACGAGTGGAAGGGCCTCCACCCAGGATGTGTTAGTATAACACATGATGGCGGATTTCAGCTGACGATGCATGCGTTCCACGGCGCCGTTACACTGGGGCCGGAAACTTGTAGTGTGAGACAGGTGGATGCCGAACTTTTGGGTGAGTTCGGAGAACAGGTGTGAGCGAAACTGCGAACCACGGTCAGCTGTGATTCGCTCGGGCACACCAAAACGCGAGACCCAGCAGGTGAGGAAGGCGAGGGCCACAGTCTCCGCTGTAATGTCTTTTATGGGAAAGACCTCGGGCCAGCGCGTGAACCTGTCAACACAAGTCAAACAGTATTGAAAACCTTTAGACGGGGGCATTGGACCAATTAGATCAATATGCACGTGTCCAAAGCGTGCTGTTGGTGTGGCGAAGTTGCCGAGGGGCGCCGTCACGTGGCGCGTGATTTTTGAGCGTTGACAGCCGAGGCAAGCGCGTGTCCACGCGGCGACGTCCTTGTTGATTGAAGGCCAAACATAACGGTCAGTCATCATTTTAACAGTGCAGCGTATGGAGGGGTGACTGAGCGAGTGCGTTTGGTCGAAGATGCGGCGGCGCCATGATTCGGGGATGAAGGGCCGCGGGCGGGCTTGGGACAGGTCAGCCCAAACAGAAACATCTGTGCCGGGGATCGATACTTGACCCAGTTTCAGCGATGCGTCAGGTGATCTCGGCCACTGGTGAAGTTCGGCGTCATCGGCTTGCGCTTTTGACAAAGCGTGAAAGTCGATCGACGGGAGGGTGACAGCGTCACAGCGTGACAAGGCGTCACTCGTCACGTTTTCAGAACCTTTAATGTGCTGAATGTCTGTCGTATATTGAGATATGACAGTCAGCTGGTTGCGTTGGACAGGAGACATTTTGTCTTTCTTCTGCGTAAACATGTAAACCAAAGGTTTATGGTCTGTGAAAATCGTGAAATTCTGACCTTCTAGAGCGTGACGGAAGTGCTGAACAGCTTCATAGATACCTAACAGTTCACGGTGGTAGGGTGGCCAAGCGGACTGACGCTCAGTGAGTTTCTTAGAAAAGAAACCAAGGGGCTGCCAAGCACCGTTAATTTCTTGTTGCACAACAGCACCTGCAGATGTCAGGGAGACATCTGTAAACAGAGCCAGGCGCGCGCCTTCTACTGGGTAAGCCAAAAGTGTTGCATCTGCAAGGTGATTCTTGCAGGCAGCGAAGGCTTCTTCTCTCTCAGGGGTCCAGGGGAAAGGGGTTGATCCTTTCATCGTGGGGCCGGAGAGGCCTTCGTGGAGAGGGGCTTGATATTCAGCTGCTCTCGGGAGAAATCTTCGGTAGAAATTTATCATACCCAGGAAGCGACGCACATCCTTGACAGTTTTTGGCAGAGGATATGCACGCAAGGCTTCAACGCGCTCTTCAGGGGGAGAAATCCCTTCTGGGGTAATTTTATAACCCAAAAATACTAGTTCAGTTGCTTCAAAAATGCACTTGCTGGGGTTGATCACGACGCCATATTGTGACAGTCGTGAGAGGAGAGTCCTCAAGTTCTCTCTGTGTTCTTCCGGCGTTCGGGAGAAAATCAGGATGTCATCAATGTAGCAATAACAAAAATCTAGGCCGCGTGTCACTTCGTCCATAAATCTTTGAAAGGTTTGGGCAGCATTGCGCAAACCAAAGGGCATGAATGGAAATTCAAACAAGCCGAACGGCGTGGCTATAGCCGTTTTACAGACATCATCTGGGTGGACTGGTATTTGTTGATAAGCCTTAACCAAATCCAGTAGTGCAAAAATTTTACATCCAGCAATATTGTATGAAAAATCATGAATGTGACGCACCGGGTAGCAATCAGGTATCGTTCGGGCATTAAGACCTCTGTAGTCTCCCGTGGGTCTCCAGCCAGTTCCGCCCTTCTTAGTCACCATGTGGAGACCAGAAGACCAAGGGCTGTCAGATGGGCGCGCAGCGCCATTTTCTAACATGCTCGTAAACTCGGCCTTTGCCGTGTTAAACTTTTCAGGGGCGAGGCGCCTGGGGCGGCAAGACACGGGTGGGCCGGGAGTGGTGCGTATGTAATGCACAGTCTTGTGCTTAATTTCACGCATTTTTCCAGGAGGGCGTGCAATATCCGGAAATTCTGCAAGCAGATCAGCATAAGGCTGTGACTCATGCACTGCCTTTACGCTGTCTTGGGCTGTGGCGGTAGTGCGGGCGAGCGTGTGCAAACCCGTTTTACCATCAACAAGCCGTTTGAATTTACAGTCCGGAAGTAAATGGTAATGAGCGAGAAAATCATTACCGATAATTGGCATATCAACGTCAGCGATAACAAAAGACCAAGAGAAGGCTCTTCGAAGCCCAAAATCCAACACTTGAGGTAAAAGGCCATAAGTTTTGATATCGCTGCCGTTGGCGGCGCTAAGGACATGGTTTGTCGGTTGCACATGACGACCAGTAATTAAGCGACGGGGGTAGCAAGTCAGATCAGAACCAGAATCGACAAGATATTGTCGTTTTGTGGTCCTGTCGGTGACAACAAGGCGGCTACCTGAGTGACAACCAACTGCCGCATTTATTGGCTGCCGGTGCCGTTTCCCGGTTTGAAAGAGCAGGGTTGCACACACTTGTGTGCCTTCTCGCCGTGGCGAGAGTGGTACCAGCACATTTCGTCCTGTCTGTCCCGGGTAGGGCGGGAGGTTGCAGCACTCCGAGAATTGTCACGAGCGCGAGAGAAATTTCGGTTGTCCCGAAAATTACTCTGAGAGCGTGAGCGAGGCTGGCGCTCGTCTCGTCGGCCAGGTGGGGCCGTAATGCTCTCAATTTTCAGATTCAATTTTTGCAGTGTATCCAAAATCATTGCGGACACATCAGGGGAGGGAGGTGGGTCTCTTACAGCCATAACAGCGCTGGGTGTCACTGAAGCGACCTGCTCGACTATCTTATCGGCCATTGCAGCTAGTGCATTTAAATCCAAATTGGAGTGAGAGGACAAAATGGCCGAAGCCGTTGCAGGAAGGCGCTGCAACCAAATTTGGGAAAGCAGCGCTTCGCTCACAGTAGCACTAGACCCAGCTAGTGAACGCAAGTGTCGCAGAAATTGCGATGGCTTGCGATCACCGATTTCCTCTTCAGAAATCAATTTCCGAACACGTTTTTGTTCAGAATCAGACAGGCGAGATATCAAGCTGGTTTTCAAATTTTCATAAGTACGGTCTGCCACAGGACCACTGATAATATCCTCGACCTCAGCAGCGGTAGCTGTGTCAAGCTGACCCACAACCAAATGGTATTTTTGGCTATCTTGGGTAATATTATTTGTTGCAAAATTTGATTCAGCTTGAGCGAACCAGACACTGGGTTTGTCTGCCCAAAACGATGGTAGTTTGCCACTCACCGCATTTGTCCTGTTTCTCCTTTCACGTTCACGGTCACGTTCGATGGCTTCCAAGGCTCCTCTGGCGGAGGCAAGGGCGATTTCAGCGTTGGCTCTTGCAGTTTCTTCTTCTTGAAGATTTTTCTTGACGGCTTCTAATTCCCTCTTCAATTGAGCTACTGTCTCGGTTGCCATTTCTTTTTAAAATTTACTTTTTACTTTTTTTAGTTGCAAAAATTTTTGAGAAACACGAAACACGGCCTATCAGGCTACTTTGCAAAATTTAAATCACGTCGGGGTCACCAATGTAGGTGTGCTTCGTGTTATTTCAACGGAATAAGTAGCCAGAACCGTAAAGAATGATTGGATTAAAACATGGCGAGTTTATTTCCGAGCTCAGAGACAAATCTTGATTACAACAGTAGCAATGTCTTAAAGAATTAAGTTCTCAATAACTTGACTAGTGAGTTAATTGGGTCAAGCGGTGACACACTAGCGAAAGAGAGTTTCGGTGCAGTAGGCCAGCAGGCCTGACCGGATCAATAGTCCGTCGGATGGGCCACGCCCTTGTGGGTGGCGAGCCGAGTGGCGCGGCGCTACTCCGTGACTGCGGGGTTACTCACGTCGGCAGGCAGGGGAGGGGCGGCGCGATAGAGAACGCAACTCGGTGATCGAAGCAGCGCTCCGCAAGGGGGGGAGCAGATATGGACCTCACGGCGGAGCAGGCTCGGAGAGGGTTGAAGCGGAGTCCACTAGCAGAACGGAGGCGAGACGTCCGTCGTAGAAGCGTCCTTCTGGGCGGCGGCTCGGTGTAGTCGCCACGACCTCCGGGTCGGCTGCAGGACGAGCGGAAGCCAGGTGTGTCGTCGGGCAGAGCCTCCGGCGGCAAGGCGAGGTGAGGCCCGGGCGCGTCGCCGGACAGGGCCTCCGGCCGCGGGGCGAGGCCTAGCAAGGGTTACGACTGGTGCGGTCCTTGCAGGCTGATGACTGGGCCAGGTGCTGCTAGGGCTTACTTCGGGTGAGGGCTCCTAGCGGCAACTGTGCGGAAAATTCGGTGTCGCGAGCTTTTATAATTTCTGGGGAAAACTTCCCCTCCGCCGATGCTGGCGGATTTCCTGGAATCGAGTGACCACGCCCTACCGTCCATCCTTCCCCCACCGGCAGGGTGAATGCTTGCACTGCGCAGGCCCAAAAAGGCGTCGCATAGAGGTGCCTATGAAAAAGCGACAGATGGCGTTGCATGTACTTCCCTGGCCACTGTCTGGCGGGGGAGAGGAAGGGAAGGCTACTGGCGCCAGGTGTGAGGGTGTGGTCACGAGATCGATATTTGACCTAAATAATATGCTGCAAAGAATTAAAGGCAAACAGTAAAGCCAGAAGGGCTGTGACGTGTAAGTCAAACATGTGACGGTAGCCTGTATGGGAAATGCATTTGCGGTCCGTACACCGCTATTGCATATCGATTAATTTGGGAAAGTTAATAACAAAGACATGTGCCGAATAATTGAATATAAAGAATAGCACAACAGGCGCGTGAGGTACAGAGTGATTAAAGCAAGTTGCAGCATACCTAATTACCTAATAACTTAATTAACTTAAATGTAATACATTACCAGATAGTAGAGTACATTGATATAGTTAGATACATGTATATAGTGGGGGATATTTATCCACCACAATGTCATGCCTTGTGCCTCTCAGCCTCAGCGCTCCGCACTAGAGTACAAGCAATGACACATCGTTAAGTAAAGTATTATTAATTTCAGTTGTGTATGATGTATCATCTGCTAAAAAGAGACTGTTGGAGCAGCAGACAGCTTTTGCAAGTACTTGAGCAGCACGTGACAGTGATAGCAGCAAAGCGCCCTGACGCCTTAAGCCCAGGCTCCAGGCATATGCGTCTGAGAGGTTGAGAGGTAGAGGGCATAGGTAGAGAAAGACAGAAAGGAAGAAAGAAATAAAGATATATAAGAACGAGAGAGAGAGAGAGAGAGAGAGAGAGAGAGAGAGAGAGAGAGAGAGAGAGAGATGGGTCATTTTGTAATGATACGAACGAATAAGCTGCTGCGAGGCATCACGCCGTGTGTGCTTGCAGTGCAGGCCGTGGGGTGTGGCGCGTTGCCCCTGATGAACTCCAAGTGGGGCGGCATCCAGGCCAAGGAGCAGCAGCAGTGCCTCGCAGAGACACAACATCAAGCATCAAGTGGAGGATCCGACACGTCTGTATAATAGAGTCGCTACTGGCGGCACGGCGGGCCAAAGCGCCCTGTGTTTGTGTGTGTGTGTGTGAAAGTAGTCTCGATTGGGCACACAGTCGGCTCCGAAAAAGCCATCACGGAGGATGAGAGATATGTCGGTGGCTTCGCCTCTCTTCTCATTCCGCTCCACACATCTCTCCGACCTGCTCATCCTGAAAATGACCCTCCAATGGGGCAGATTTCAAAAGCTATAATATATCCCCCCAAAACAAATGGCCCGCGTGTGTTTTGGAAAGCGAAAAGCGTTTCCCGACGATAAACGGACTGGCTACTAGTGGCTTATACACAACGAGTTTCGCGCAGAGTGAAAATAAATATTTCTGGCGCCGTTAATTGGCTGGGGAGTGTGTGTGTGGTGCGCGGCGTGCGGAGCCGCGTCTAACGAACTTCTCGTTTGTGACTGTACCAGACGGCGCCAGGCGGCACTGCGAGGTGCGAATCTGCTGCGGGGGCCTCCTATGGCGGGCCCCGGGCCGGACCGAGAGTGTTTTCACTTTTTACGGCCGACGGTATGCTGCTGCTGCTGCTACCGGGCGCTTAATATCGATATCCAGTCTGAAGCCGTCGTTGACGTAACAACACGACATTGGACATACCCTTCTGTCAAAAACACTGTTCTTAAATGACGAATCTTGTTTTTGTTTGTTAGCAAAAGAAGAAACCGCATTCCCCCCCCCCCCTTTTTTTTATCCCAGTGCCGCACGTTGAAAGTCGAGGAGACCCGCCTTTTCTACCGGCCGATCGTGTTTGGCTCAATGGATATTTTTGTCAGTTCATCGATTGTGCAACGAAACGCGAAATGACCGGAGGGGTCGGCGTGGCGGCCGCTGCAGAGAAGAGATCCCTCCGGATAGCGAGGGACGCGCGGCCCCGGCGCTCCACTTGCGGCAATACTCCACCACCACCACGACCACCGCGGCGGATAGAGTGAGGACCGATAGAGCGGGGCGCGGATAGATACGGAGACCCGAGCGCGCGTGGGAGACAAGAGAGACGGGAGCCATAGATGGATTGAGCCGCAGCAGCAGCAAAGGCGGCAGCGGCAAGGAATTGATAATTCGGCGCGAAAATCCTTCCCGTGTAGCAGATGCAGTGGCAGCAGCAGCGGCGGCGGTGGCGGCAGTGGCAGGTGTAACACCTGCCATTAAGGACCGGGGCTCCCTTTGGCCCTCGCGAGGGCGCCTTACCTTGCGTCACGCGGCCGCGTTGGGCAACAACAGTATCGTGACAGTGTGGCGCCCCGCGCACCGCACGGCCCTCTCTCCTCTTGTGTCTCAAACTCGTCGAGTAAGAGCAGCAATTAAGGGGGTGTCGGCCCGTGTCGCGAGATTCACCTTTTCGTTATCAAAAAACTTTACGCCCACTTATTTTCATCTTTTCTCGTACGGAATACAGTTGTGATGGTAAGTTGGTGATCATCTGCCCCATATCACACTCTGCTGGGCTTTTTCAATTTAGCAGTCGCCTCTAGCTTGGCGTGTGCGCTTATTTGTGCAGCCGGTATGGTATGGTTACACAAGGCGATTTTTATTTCCCCCCTTTACCGCCCCTCCCCGCCCCCGCCACGCCCGCACAGCGTCTCGCCCGATTCGCCGGGATGTTCTCTCGGGGCCGGATGACACTTAAATTAATTAGAGACGCCCCGTCTCATTAAGTTCCGCGCATTAGCCGGTGCTCTTCATCAGCGCCGGCCGGGCCTCTCTGGCCGCCGGCCGATCGCTCATGATCTAACTCCGCATCGCATCCCGCGCGCCGCGGTTTTCCCGCCCTCTTTTTCAGTGTTTTTTTCCCAGAATGTTTGATGCTTGCTGTTTTTTTTTCTTCAAAAAAACTTAGAAATAAAATCAAATAAGGTAGCCAGGAACTCTCCGTGTCCAATTTCCTGGCCCAGTATAACGGGCATTGTAAGTGTAGTATGCGCGCGGGCGTGTTGTTGTGCCCTGCCGAGTGTTTCTCGTGTTTACCGCGGCCCGGCGAGGGGCCCGGGCGGGGGCCCCATTGTAGGCAATACCGGCGACACCACGGCCGACCCCGCCGGGGGCCCAGCAGCCAGGCCCGGCCAGGCCCGGCCCCGGGGCACACGCCGAACACGGGGGACCCATTTAGCCGTGTGGTGCTGCTGTGGCTGCACCGCCGCTGCTGCACCACTGCCGCCCGCTCCACTGCTGCTGCTGCTGCGCTCTGCGCTTCGGAGAGAGAATCGGCCGGCTCCTTGCAATTTTCCCTAATGACGACGACGACCTTACCGGCAATTAAAGGGGCATAAGCTTTACTCGCATTGGTTATTCCACCCAGGCGATCGAATTCGAATTCAAGGCAAAAGGACATGTGTGCTTCTAAAAATAACCTTTAAAGTAACAAAGTAACAACGAATTAGTTCGAACAAACAAAACGAAGGAAAGCGACTAAAAAGAAAAAAAAAACAGGCAAGAAAAAAATCATCAAGGATTATTTTTGCTTGACCGTAATGCACATCTCAAATAATTGCCCAAAGGACGAACTAGCTCAAGTGTTGGGCACTTGTGCCAACTGCTTTCTCCACCACCCCGGCAGGCGGGATTCTCTTCTTGTCGCGCGCAGACTCGCGGGCTGCTGTGCGTGGGTGCCACTGCCGAGGCCACTCTGCCCTGGCGGCGCGGCTCTTCACTTCACTTTCGACTCACTCGGCGCGGCGCAAGCCCGGCTTCTTTGCGGCGCAATGCCCCGTATGATTGTTGTAATTGCCGTTGATGGTTTTGGCGGGACCCTCCGTACGTACGGTGCGCCGTGTGTTTTATTTTTGTTGACATAGGGAAGTCCGACGTACCGCTATTGTTGAGCCGTTGTCCTCCGCGTTGTCCTTTCTGTGTCGCTTCCTTTTAATCTAGGAACTAAATAAATATCAGTGTACTTCGACCTCCCTCCCCCTTTTCCCACTTACCTTTTAGCCGCATATTTGCATATTTCCCAGAGGGCTGTCGCGCGTTCCTACAGACTCGCTGCAAATGACGGTCTTGGCGTCTCCAGCGCCCTTATTCCCTCCCACTCTCCTCCCTTCTCTATCGTCCTCTTTTGCCTTTTCTCTGCCCCCCCCCCCTCTTCCCATTTCTACGACAGTCTTTATAAAGTCACTGCTCTAATGAAAATGAAACTGCAATTTGGTGTACATCCCCGTATCTCCGTCGCCTCTGCGTTGCATCAGCCTGTGAGATAGGCAACTCAGGGGCACGGGCGTGCTGCGCTTGGTGAAGTTGCCTACCTCTCCGGCTGCGGGTGATCGTGCGTTCTCACGCAGCAAAATACTCCATAACTCCCCCTTTACCCTTCTCCTGACTTGGATGTGCCGGCAGTTTGAAATGGGTGAACAAAAGTGGAAGGTGGAAGAAGAAGAGCGAAGGTGAAATTGCCGGGATAGCGAAAAAAAAACTGTGTCTGTGGTCGGTGTGTTGTGTGCGTGCGCGCGCTCGCTTGTGTGTTGTTTGTGTGAGTATGTGCGTGTGTGTGTGTGCACATAAACTGCTGATGACTCCGCCGCGCGCACTTACGGTCGAGTATCGGGCCGGCTCTGGCTGCTGCTGTGGCGCGCCGTATAGCGCCCCGCTGGCCGGCCGCACTATCCACTCGGGAAATTGTCGATTATGAGACCGCAACTTTCTTTCTTCATTTAGCGGCCGACAAAGGCGGCGCTTGAGCGGCGGCAGCTCGGCCGGTGGACGTGCATCGGCCGTGCATCGGCCCTGCATCGGCCGGTGCTTCGGAGGGGTGTGAGCGCTCTGCCGAGATGACCTGGAATAAAAAAGGCGAGGCGAGAATAAAACACGAGCGTTTCCTTCGCTCTGAACGGGCTCTCTGAGGTTGTCTGA